TCACCTTCAGACATCCACTGTCTACTTTTGTTTTCATCCCTGAAAATCCCCTGATGACAATTCATGGAAACTACAGCACGTTATGGTTCAATAAAATGTGACTTTTATTGTTCCTGGGCCGCTTGTTATCATGTTTTGGTCATTACTTCATTGATTAGAGAGGTTTCATTTGATAACTCACCCATAATATCCAGCTGTTGGAGGTCAGAATTCAGCTGTGTAGCCAATGATGTAACTGTAATGATTGAATTACAGCTTGTAAACCGTGTGTGTGTGTGTGTGTGTGTGTGTGTGTGTGTGTGTAGATGGTACTGACTGAGCAGTGATTCTGTGTGTGGGCTGATTCAGGGTGCTGGTAAGTGTAGCTTCACGATGGCCGATGGAGGCAGCGACGACGACGTCATCCACCTGGCGAGCTTCAACGTCCACCGCAGCCAAGGTGAGACGCACCTTCACACCTTCATGTCCATGCTAACACACCGAGGAACCGCCAACAGCTCGTAGACATGGTTCCTCTTCACCTTCACTTTCCACATTGGTTGCATTGGTGCGTGTTCATTTAGGAGCGATTAAAAGTTTTTCCCCACTGACAGTTTATTGCGCAGCCTTTCTTGTCGACTCCCACACACACTGGAAAGTTCTTATGGAAATGATTGTAAACAGGAATAAGGGTGCACATACAATGTTTTGTTCTCTTTCATCAGGATGATCTGTGACTTGAAGTTATCAAAAGGCGGCATTTCTTTGGATATATTATGAGCAGTTTTTTAAAATCATTTTTGACTCCTTGCTGCTTTGGTTTCCCACTGCCTGGTGATAAAACGCTGCTGGCCACAAATCCAACACGTCACAGGACAGGTTTCTTGGAGAACTGTGCTTTCTGAACGTGTCGTGTCTGTGAAGATTCTCAGTCCTCCAGGTCATGGTTGTTCTGTGGTTTAATCGTAGCAACTGGACTTGCTTGAGTTCCTTGAAGACGTTCCACCTTCATCCAAGAGGCTTCATCAGCTCTGACTGACTAGTTGGGAGTTCCACATGCTGATATCCTGAAGGAGCCATTAATACCTGAGTTTAGGTTTCAGTTGGAGGTTTGTTGCTCCTCCCCCTCGTTATGTGGGTCGTTAGTGCTCCTCCTTCCACAGTGGGGTTCGGTAGGGTCTTCGTGGCTCGGTGTGGCTGTGGGTTCATCTTCCTGGGGAGAGATCTTAGGACTGAGCTGTACACAGGTGAGAGGTGATGCCTCAGACCTCCACCTCTGTTGAGGGATGGTCTCTCCAGTTAGATGGCTTCTTTCACTCCTCTGTCAAACCATCTGTCNATATGAAATATATATTTTTTAAAACATAAAGAAAACAAAAGAGTGCACACCAACACACTGTCGCAGACAATACACAGTGCAAATATATATTTTACTGTAATTGAAAAGTACATAGGCAGTACAAAACTGCATCTGTTTTTAAACGTTTAAAAAAACGTGAAATGTTTTTATTGAAGTATGTGTGATTTGGGTTTTGTACTCTGAAATCATACTGTTCAGTCATACTAAAATTTGTTTTCTGTCTTTACTATTATTTTTGTTTCCTCGTTATGTAGAATCATTCACACACATTATCCATTATGTTTTATTTTATTTTATGGCTTTTATACAGAAATAAATAGAATCTAATATCTTCCAGTTCCGTGGTGGGCAGAACTACACCGCCGCCACCTCCAGGACTACATTTCCCACAAGTCATCGCGCCTACGCAACCAACGGCATCCTGCGCGTGACGTGCTACTGTTCTTGTTTTGGCAGTTTGTTTCGATATTCACGGATTGTCAGTTCACTAAGGAGGCGGATTCTCCTGCTTATCCACGCCAAGCTGCGGTATTTTACGTTTTTACTCGTGTCTTTTCGTACCGAGATCTTCCACCGAGTGTGTGGTCGGTTTGAAGCAGTGTTACGGACAGAAATCCTGCCAGAAGTCAGCTAACTAGTTACCCTGCTGGCTAGCTAGCCTGCTAATTACCATTAGCTTAGCAGAGAGCAGTGGTTTGTTCTGTGTGAGAGAGAGCGGAAATGATCGATTGCTGTTCTGACATGTTTGTTTACGACCACAGCGTCTTAAACTTTATTGTAGAACATCGCTGAGCCTGATGTCAAGGCGGTGGCTTCAACGCAACTTCCAGTCCAGGGGCTAGTATCACAACAGTGGCTGGTCGCTGTGGTCGCGCATTCAGAAAATGTAGGCTTTGCATTGATTTCTTCCAGATTTTATCACATGTAGGGCGACAGGAGTTGCAGGTCACGCTAAAAGAGAATGTGACTGGATGTTCTCGTGAGAATTGGTGGCCAAAGCAGCTAATGAGCGTTCAGTATGTTGGCTAATGTTGTTCCTGTTCCCATGGTTGACCTTAACCCTGCTCCTCTGCTTCAGATTGCTGCTTTCTGACACGTTTTTCTGTACTTTTCTGTTTTGCGACATGTTGGTGGAGCTCATCTACTCTGGCTCCTCTGTGTTCATTAGTCAGACAGATTGTTTATGGTCGCTGGGTGGAGTCTCAGTCTGTCGTTTTCGGTAAATGCGACGACAAGTGGTGCGTTTTTCAAATGAAACCGTGCGCTGGATTTTAGGGAAATACCGTCACAGCGTTGTGTTTTGTTTTCATATGATTTATGCCGTCTGGTTACACAATCAGACTGATGCTGAAACAGGCAAGTCACTCATTACTGGCACCTCCAGAACTGTTTT